TTTTTTTTTTTTTTTTTTTTTTTTTTTTTTTTTTTTTTTTTTTTTTTTTTTTTTTTTTTTTTTTTTTGAGGGGGCAAAGGATTCGCACTTATTAAGGTCAAAATTAAAATATATTCAGATTCATGCACCATAGGCAAGATAATCATTATAGGCATATTATTCAAATGATTAAGTTGTTAATTAATTAATTCACCAGAAAAAAGGAAAGTTAGTGGTGGGAGTGAGCTGATCTCCATTTTTGTGGAAAACTATGAATTAATATAATAAACCCATTAATGATTTAATTATGATAATTTTGAATAAGATATAAAAACTCGGGGAGGAATTTAAATTACTATTTTCCTCGATCTCCCATTATGTTTTGTCTCCACTTATTTTATATCCAATTACGTAATCAAAGCTATTCCACACCAATTTAATCTACGATATGAGTTCAAAGCTAACATCATATATATGTACGATCAAAATCTATGTCACTTAACGGTTATTATTACTTTATAAATTATCCGTTTAAAGTTAAACGGGGAAGAGACAAAGAGACAAGGGATGTGTTAATGGTTTAGATGCATGAACAAAAACATTAAAGGGTGGTGTAGTAATGTTTTTGACTTGTGTCTTTTCAACGTAGGCCTGTGTGTCTTTTGGGTTTGTGCTAGCCCTATTTTTTATTTTATATAAATTATTATTATTTAACAAAGATAAATATTGACCAATGATTAATTAATTAAAAAAAAAAGAAAAAAAAAGTAGTTAGATATGCTTAGAGGCATTAGCCATTGAATAAATAGTAATGGGAAAGCAGAGAGAAAGTAACAGCAAACACCACCATTTCAAAGTTTGCAACTTTCTTCACATTTTTAAAAAGTTTTGATTTGTGAAGGCGAAAGGGTAATCATGATTAAGCGTTGTTTCAAAGAAAAAGAGGCAAAAACGACAGTGTTGATCCCATTTTAGTAAAAACTAGGTTTTTTAAAACTTTACTTTTAATATGCATTTAGTAGTAAAATTACACATCCATTTGCATATAAACGTGGATCTAACCAGTGTTTCAATACGTGGAACCCATGGGTCTCCCTTGCTGACTCGATTCTATTCACGCCATGTCATCGAACCAATCATGCAATAATGACAGTAATAGGTGGCCAAAGTGCATGAATGAGCCACTTCCCTTAATTCCTATATATACTCATTGTCGCTCCCTCTCCCCTTCCAATCCAAACCATAAGTTTAGGCCAATTCGTTCAAATATGCCTTCTTCTTCTTCTTCTTCTTCTTCTTCTTCTTCTTCCATTTCCATCGTCTCAAAATGCACTGTTTTTCCTTATCAACCTTCCTCCTTGAACTCTGTTAAGCTTAAGCTCTCTGTTTCTGATCTTCCGATGCTCTCTTGCCACTATATTCAAAAGGGTGTTCTTTTATCTTCCCCTCCTTACTCCCTTTCTGATTTCGTCTCCTTTCTCAACCTCTCTCTCTCCGCCACTCTCTCCCATTTCCCTCCTCTCGCCGGCCGTTTCTCCACCGATGCCGACGGCTATGTTTACATCCTCTGCAATGATGCCGGGGTTGAATTTATCGAGGCTAAGGCTAAACATCTCACCCTCCATGCCCTTCTTTCCCCTCTTGATCTTCCGGTTTACTTCAAGGATTTTTTTTACTTTGATCGGACTATTAGCTACTCCGGCCACTCCAACCCCTTACTCGCTGTTCAGGTAATAAAGTTGACATTTCTGCGATCACAGCATCTCATGGTTTGATGACTAATTCTGTAAATTTAATCTTATTAGGTGACAGAGTTGGCGGATGGTGTGTTTGTTGGGTGTACTGTCAATCACGCCGTCACCGACGGGACTTCGTTCTGGCACTTCTTCAACACATTTGCTGAAATTTGCAAAGGGACTAAAAAGATCTCGAATTCGCCGGATTTTAGTAGAAACACTGTTTTCAACTCGCCGGTGGCGCTGAAGTTTCCCGAAGGTGGGCCGGTAGTGACGTTTAACGGCGACGAGCCATTGAGAGAGAGGATTTTCCACTTCACTCGAGATTCCATTCTGAAGCTGAAGCTGAGGGCCAACATCAACAACCAGGTCACCGGAAGGAAACCGGTCAACGGGTTTTACGACGCCGGCAAGATTTTGAGGAAACAGGGGAATGACAGTTGGAAAACGGTAGACGGGAACAACGGGACTAATAACGAGGGGAACATAACGTCCGTTTTGGAGAATTTGATTAAAATGAATGTCCCGAGTCGGACGGCGGAGATTTCGTCTTTCCAATCGTTATGCGCGCATCTGTGGCGGTCAGTGACACGTGCGAGAAAATTAGACGAGTCCAAAACGACGACGTTTCGCATGGCGGTTAACTGCCGCCACCGACTGAATCCACGGATGGATCCGTACTATTTCGGAAACGCGATACAGAGTATTCCGACGGTGGCGCCGGTCGGAGAGCTTCTGTCGAACGATCTTCGGTGGTGCGCCGATCTGCTGCATAAAAACGTGGTGACGCACGACGACGCCACCGTCCGCCGGGGAATCGCAGATTGGGAGAGCCAACCACGGCTGTTCCCGCTGGGGAACTCTGACGGCGCATCAATCACCATGGGCAGCTCGCCAAGATTTCCAATGTACGACAACGATTTCGGGTGGGGCCGTCCGATCGCCGTCAGGAGCGGCAAAGCCAACAAATTCGACGGTAAGATCTCCGCCTTCCCCGGCCGAGAAGGAAACGGCAACGTCGATCTCGAAATCGTCCTCTCGCCAGAAACAATGGCTGGTCTGGAGCGGGACCCAGATTTTATGCAGTACGTCTCAACACCGGTATGATTGGTCCACCCAAGCGCGGCGCCCGCACAGTAAAAATCTCTTTCAACGAATTAATTACTTTTTATGGTAAAAGTAAAAAGAAAAAAAGAATAGCCATATATATATTTAGAATCGTCTCTCGAAAGGTAAAAAAGTAAAACTGAGTGGAGGCGTGGAATTTGATGAAGTCATGAAGACAAAGAAAACGGCGACGTTTTGGCTGTGGTTTTTTTATAAAACGCCTATCATGTTTAGGATAAGCTATATATACCTTTCCCCCGCCGTCGAGAAAAAAGAATTGAAGATGGTTTTTAGTGTTGTGCTATGATTAATGGGATGATGTGGATTCTTAGTCTTATTAAGGGAGCAATAACCAAAATCAAATTTCATCATTCAAAATCAATGTCTATTATTACCAAACCCCATGTTCTTCATGTTCTTCATGTTCTTACTTGGTGGCCAAAACGCCTGTTTCCATCAATGTTTATTTAGAATGAGAAGAGAACAGATGAAAAGGAATCCACAGTCTTCATGATGTGAGCAACAAAGTTGACCATTTCTTTTCTGGTTTAATGAATATATACACAATGAATCTTATAGTATATGCCAAACAATCACACGGATGTTTCCTTCTGCTACTGAAACCAAGCTGCCACAGAAATATGAAGAACAGGTGTAGCATTTCACTGATAACTCACTTCTGGGGATGGAAAAATCCGTTTAAACACCCATTGAAATGGTCTTAGAAACTGTGCTCTTTTCTTGCGCCAGAACCATATGGCTGCGTTGTATTGTTCGTTGCGGATTGTTCGAGTTGCAGCTTTCCAGTCGTATTTCTCCATCTCCGCTCGAGCTGCTTTCCCCATTGTTTCCCTCAGTTCGCGATTCTCCAACAGAGGCTTCAGCTTGCTTAAGCAGTCATCGATGTCTCCCGGGGTGTAAAGGTGCCCAATTTTGCCGTCTAGTTCAGGAGGGATTATATCGGGAACTCCACCGGCACGAGCTCCGATCACAGGGATCCCAGAGGACATAGCTTCCAATACGACAAGTCCTAACGTCTCCGATTCAGAAGGCATTACAAAAACGTCACCACTAGCATAAGCCTGAGATAGCTCTTCCCCTGATAACATCCCTGTAAATACTGCAGGCGTCCCACTGAACATCTTTTCTAGCTCCTCCCTGTCATGAAGGAAAACACATCAAACAATTACAAAAACAAAGTATCACTCAATCCTGTTCGTGATAATGCATAGAAGAGTTCCCTATAGCATTTGGTTTTTCGTAATGATTTAGTTCTTGATATGCTAATTTAGATAATAAGCTCATTACGGTTGTCAAATCCTAGAACAGATACCTGTACGGTCCATCTCCAACGATCGCGATTCTTGCTTCGGGGAGTCTATCCATGATCCTATCATATTGATGGAACAAATGTAAGAACAGCTACATATTTTATGAGGATCATACATAATCAAAGGTGGAAGGAAGAATAAGAAGCTGATGCACAATTTAGGCTCCATTGGATAGCTATTTCGTTTAGATAACATATCATAACAAAGAAACCTACCAGTAGAAGTAGTTTATTTTTCAAAAATCAAATGGTTATCAAACAAGATGATAGTCGTAAGTTATCCTAGACCATGGTGCAGAAGGTTAAGGAAGCTAACCATATTTCATACCTTTTGAGGAAATCCAAGCTCTTCTCAACTCCAATTCTTCCAACGTGAACAATCAGTGGTTTATCAGGCTCTCCGCCACTGTTGGACAAAGCCAATCATGTTAAAGGAGATGATCTTTTGAGTTGCATTATTTAAGAAATAAATGTGAGGGAATCTTACCTAAGCTTCCATCTCATTACATGCGAGCGGAAGCGAGGATGAAAGCTTACAGAATCTACACCCTTATTCCAAAGTCGAATCTTATTAGCTGCAAAAAAGAGAAATCGAGTAAACCACTAGCAGATCTTGTTCTCTTTGAGTTTTCCCTTTCACTAGTAAACCACCCCCTTCAAAGCTAGTGTCTTCCATAGCACACCACCTGATGTCTGGCTCTGATACCGTAACAACCCAAGCCCACCGCTAGAAAATATTGTCCTCTTTGGACTTCCCCATTCGGGTTTCTCCTCAAGGTTTTTGAAACACTTCTGCTAGGGAGAGGTTTTCACACTGTTATAAAGAATGTTTTCTTCCCCTCTCCAACCCATGTGGGATCTCACAATTCACCCCCTTCGAGACCTAGCATCTTCGCTGACACTCGTTCCCCTCGCCCACAATAAATACCACTTATATAACTTGCTCGTGAATATATGCTCTAAGGTAAATAAAACACAAAAATGGGTCAAACTAAATCTACCACTTTCTTAGACTACATTATAATCAAGAGAAATCTACAATTAGTACGTGCGCTATTTCAAATCACCTGCTGTCACTTTTTCAGCTTCAAGATCCTTGCCAATGGCAGCAGATGGAACCAAAGTAAGATCAGCCGCTCCATGGAGGAATTCTAAAAAGAAAGACTGAATTCTAAATAGTGATCCTTAATATTCAAATTCATATGATGGAACAGAATAAATCTTCCTTTTTATTAGTTCAACAACATAATAGAATAAATAGTCACGTACTTATAATGAGCCACATGGGTTTGACCAACCAACTAAATGTATATCTTGGAATGTATCTGCACATCAGAAAAGACAGATATATGGTAATCTAAACCTGGATACAATAAACAACAAGATCGACTCGTACGCAACTGTTCTCGGCTCAACGAACCTCGTAACTTGTTAATGATAATAGATTGCAATACGTCCAATGGTAAAAAGTCCCAGAAAAGAACTTACACAGGTACATGAGTATGGTATGACATAACTAGCGGTACACTTAATAGTTTTGCAATAATCAGAGCTCCAAACACCTAAAAACGAATCGAGTTGGACAACGGTCAATCAGCTTGCTCAATTTGATGACCAAATTCAAGAACAAAATATAATGAGATGATTTTTTTGACTTGCCATTATCCCTGGTGATGATGCGTGTATGATGTCGGGTTTAAACCGAGAAACTTCTGAAATTATTCTTGGACTAAGTGCTAGAGAAAGAGGCACCTTCTGATACAAAGGGCATGGAAAGCTGCCAATAGTTAAAGATAAGTTGAGCAAACAAGAGAGGATGATAGGTTACTGAATGTTATTATCATCTGACATGAACTCCCAAACTTACCTTCGTGATCCAATTATTTTTGCACCATAAAACTCCTCAGGTACACCTTCATGAGTTGTCACAACCATCACCTAAGTAAGTTGCATAAAAAAGTCAACTTCTCTATTGCTAGAAAGAAATTAATAGAACACACTCAAGCTTGTTGCAATAAAGAGTTTAAGATGGATTAAAACGGCTATCAAATGCTAAGACAGGAACACGAAAGAGATCAAATTAAACCTCGTCGCCCATTTCGCGTAGATAGCGAATGAAGTTCTGGAAGCGATTTTTGTATCCCGACACGTATCTGTAAAACCAACAATGGAAGGTAACTATCAGTGATTCAACATTTATGAGTATAGTTCACAAACCACAATATGTTAGGCCTTGACACTAGAAAATTCAAAAGTTTTAACCCAATACACATGAGGAACGGGGAGTAAATGCAAAATTTGACAGAATATCAGTGCAAGAACAACTAATGAGACATGTTTAAGGTTTTGGTGCCATCAAAAACTGCGATGGATAGAGAAACAGTGATTTAAGCATAGATCAATGCAGCTAATTGTTGTAGTAAAACTACAAAGTGGCTTTCCTTATCAAAAGCGGAATCAATGAAGTTAGAAATAAACCCTTCAAGAAGAGGCTAAACCCTCATTTGACATCAAGCATATAGCAGCTCCTAGATGCTATATAGCCGTGCAAGACAGAAAAGAGCAGCTGAAGTAAAATCATAAGATCCGATTCCCAGTAATATATATTAGAGAGTACCAAATGGAAAGCAGTAAAATAAAGACAAGGCCAAGAGAATAGGCAACACTAGAAATTACAAGTTGTTTGAGCATAGAAAGAAAGACTCACGCAAAGGGAGAAGGCTCCACAAAGAGAGCAATACGACGAGGTTTGGAAATGGTATCAGGGTCAAGCAAAGGAGGGCTATCTTCCTCTCCATCTTCACCTCTGACTTCAGCAATAGTCATTTTGTTAGCCTTAACACTAAGAATCCCACTTCCCCTTTTCCTCAATCGAACAATTTCACAAAACAAACTTCTGGGTTTTGAAGTTGAAGATCTGGAATGATGGAATCCCAAAGAAGAAGGGGGTTCGTAGAAGGAAGTGGTGGTTGCTGCGGCGGCGGAAGTGGAAAGAGGGGGAGGAAAATGAGAGAGATTTATAGAGAGAGAAGTAGTGGTCATTATGGAAAGGAGTTTGCCGGCATATAATATAGTAGGTGCAGTGTCTGAGTTGGGATTTGTGGGAATTGAAGAATTTTTAGCTGTCTGATGGGTTTGTAAAGTTGGGTAACAAAGCAAGCAATCGAAAATCAGGGTCCGCCAGAAAGCTCGTCCAGTGGTATTGAACAATATCAGGGAAGGAATTGAGGAGACTCCTTTTATGGATATTCCACTTCTGATTTTTGGGTTCGGTTCGCTTTGTGGAATCAACCAAAGGTTCTTTCAGCATATGCTTTTTCCGTCTCTGATTCTTAATAATTTCAAATTTGTATTCTTCACTTCATCCCCTTTTCCTCTAATTATGATTATCATGTGTTTATGTTCATATCATGATTACGATTAGGGGATAATACAGAATCTTCTTACATTCTAAACAAGGGGAGAAAACTCAACGCACAGATATAAATTGCTCATCCAAATGGTTTGAAATTTCTATTTTGCTTCTTAATTTACAAGTAGTATCTAAATTAAGGGTTAAGCTTCGGTTTAAGAGATCTGATTAAGATTGGGTGTGGGAAAAAAATCCCTCCTTTCCCCCTAATTCTAAATATTCTGTATTGAAAACAATTTCTAGGGTTCCTTTTTCTTAGATGAAAAATCAATTGTAAAATCCTTCAGAAGTGGATTTGAGTGGCTGATGGGAACAAGGAAATCAGCAAAATTTCAAAACCCCACCATTGTGCCATTGACATGTGGACCAATATGCTATTTATCCAACCTGTCAATGCCCAGTGGTTGGTGACCCTAAACTGATACAAGACGTCAATGCACCCACAAATATTTCAAACAAATTTTATGAGAAGAAGAATCTTTCACAAATTTTTAAATTTAAACCACGTGAAATAAATCTTTAAAATTTTAATTCTAGGTATTAAAAAAATCTATTTTTTTTTTTTTTTTTGTCTAATAATAAAAGTTGATTGCATATAAATTTTAAGTTTATATTTAAATTATAATGGATGAATTTTATAAATTTAAATTATATCAGTTCTCTATCGGACAAAATTGATAATTTTAAAAAACAATTATTAAACACGTGTGAAATAATTGACAAAAAAGAAAATATCTATAAAGCTTCATCTCATCATGATAGATCGAGCTTGTTATGGGCCTCTGGTGGTAATCCATGATAATTTGGGTCGGCCCAAGTCCAGTCAAATTATTTATGGGCCTGAACCGGTATCGGTATTGAATCCACAAAGCCCACATCAAAGAGTTTCAGCCCATTTTGACAGTTCAGGCGGTCTCTACTTTGGGCCCTACACACGGGTCCGAAAGCCCATGAAAAATCATTACGGCAAATATCAAATTATACCCATAAAAATTGAGTTAAAAAAGTATAGGGATATGATTGGTATTATTCCAAATAATCAAGATGGAGTACAGTAAATGTGACATGAGCAGCAACAATTTACTGAGCTCTTTGCCAAAAAAGTCCATTGCTTTCTGAAGGGGGAAATTCTGTTTCCTTGAAAATATTTGATGTGAACAGTAAAAAAAAAAAACATATTTTTAAAATTTCTTTTGAGAAAGTAAAAATAGATAAATAGTATCGCCAGAATATATCACTATTTTATTTATTAATGGTAGGGGTAGCTGAAAAAACACTTACTTTTGAAACTCGCATGATCTAAAACAGGAGCTTTTTAAAAGAATTGGTCAAATTTGTTGATTAATGATAATAATAATAATAAAAAAAATCAAATTGCTGTTGAATCATAACTGGTCATTGGTTAACTTTAAATTATAAAATAATTATAAGGACAATTAGACGTGAAACTATCATTTTCAGCATATACAGTTTTTCAAAGAAATTGAGTAAAAACAGACATTATGGCGATGTTGATGGATGAGTAAGACTCCTAATCTTGTATTAAAATTCCTTGATGTTTGAGAATATCGACTTGGGCATTTTTTCTAAACAAAAATTTACTGATCTCGTTCCTTTTGGGCTTCCTTTCAAGACTTTTAAAACGTGTTTGCTAGAGGGAAGTTTCTACATTGTTATAAGAATGTTTTGTTCCCTCTCCAACCGATGTGAGATCTTGAACAATGTCTGGCTCTGGCTCTGATATTGGGACGATGTACCAATGAGGATGCAAGTACCCAAAGAGGATAGATTGTGAAATACTACATCGGTTGGAGAGGAGAATAGTGTGCTAGCGATGACTATAGGCTCCCAAGAGGTGGATTGGGAGATCCCACATCGATTAGAAAGAAAAATAAAATACTCCTTATAAGAGTGTGAAAACGTCTCCCTAGATTTATTCAAGAAAAAAAAAATAAAGGGGGGAAATTGCAATAGATTATGTTTAAAAAAGGTGATTAAAAATGATGAAAATGGGTATGGATGAAAGAGTGGGAAATGATAAAATGAAAAGGAAAAAAAGGAAAAGGGGTCTTCTTTGTTGGTTTGGTGATCGTCAAAAGCAGAATAGTGAGCATATGTTGGCGTGCGTACTCATCAATGTAATGTAATGGTTTAGAAAAAGAAAGAAAGACAGAGAGAAGCAAAAGGTAGGATAGCAATGACGTACTCAGTATAATTAAAGGTGTTGAACAGATGAAGAGTCATGGGAGAGGGGGAGTCAACAGGCAGATGGAGAATTCAATTCAACTTTATTTCTCAGTCAAAAGGGCAAAAATCTGAGAGCATGCAGATTTTTCAACACAAATTCTTCTGCCAAAGGACAGTAAAAGAAGAAAAGAAAAACACAGCCTGTGACCTCAAGCAACACAGACGCAGACACAGACCCATTAGCATCATCATGCTGATGGATTTCTGTGATTCTACTGAAATTGGGAATCAAGATGGCCAACAAAAGAGAAACTCGTAGGCCCCATCCATTGTGCCTCAAAAGCAACGATGTTGCTGAAGAGTATCAAGTGGTTGTCTCTCTCCCTCTCCTTTTCTCCTCTCCCTCTTCTACCTCTTCTCATTCTCCTCCTTTTTATTCTCTGTTGGCTCCACTCCTCTCTTTTTCCGACCTAATCCACTTCCCCATTGCTTAATCTTACCCACAACTCCTCATCTACTACGCACACAAATAAAACCCACTCTTTCCTTTTAAGTTCAGCCCTTCAATTGCAAACCAAGACTTGTAGAGCTGTGAGTGAGCATGTTCTTCAAAGCTGTGAGTGAGCATGTTCTATCACTCATATTCAAATGAAATGCCCATTTGAGCGTAAACTAAACGCTTACTTTGAGCCTTACTGCCCACTGAATCAGTCTTACCACAGTGGAGAGTTTCTTAATTAAGCCCCATCCTTTCGTTTTCATTCTTCTTTCTCTTCCTTCAATTTGAATCAATAAATGCTCCTTATTCTCACAACCTAACTCGCTGAAGAAAGATACTTACTCCCCCCCCCCCCCCCCCCCCC